GAACGTCCGACCGTTGACGAGGCCTTCATCCTATGAGACGCTCCAGTTCACGTGAATATATGTGACACAGAAGCCACGGACGGCATTGATGCTCCGCCTCAAATGGAAGGTGAGTCACGGGTTCCTGGGCCATTACAAAATAAGCGTAAGGGGCAAGGAAAGTGCGCAAACCCTCCGCCCCCAAACCGGGATAAAATGCTTAAGGAATAAGCGCCTCAGTTGGGAAAACCACCTGGTGTTGCAATTCCCTCAGTGAGACAATGGGTGCCGTCTCCTTCTGTCCCACCGATTCCTGTCAACTAACCATGCGGAGTGGATGGTAGAGCATGTGGAGTAAATCCACCTCGTTGAGGCGATTCTTGCACAGCTAACAGTGTGAGTTTCAGAAAAGTCACTGAATCCACTGCGGCTCCTCCCACCAAGTGTATGCTTGATGACCTTCGTCGGCTTAAAGTTTACGTGACCGGGATCATACCACCAGGTTTTCCTGGCGTTGTCAGGTAGCTCCTCAGTTGAGGGAACATTCCGGTTTGTCAAGCAAACCCTCGACCCCGGCTGCTTAGGGTGCTTCTCTAAACCCCAGAAGAGCGCAGGGCCATACTGAGCTTCGCATGCAAGCTCAAAGGTACCAATGTTAGTGTGTAACCTTACCTTTCGTTAGCGGATAGGTTGAAGTTAAAAGAAGCTATCAGAGACCTAAGAGCCCGGCTTGCAGCTGCTGAGCTAGGTCTTCGGTTGGTGGGTTTTCAGGTGGTCAGCTGGCGGTCCTTTTCCGCCCTTCCACAACTTATTCTTCTTGCGCAAGACCCAGGGCTGTACGTGCCGAAGCCCTCCCAGTAGTACTTGGTAACCTGCCAAGCCTGAGGTACATGATGTGCTAGGTGGGTATGCTCGTAGACAACCTCGTTCAGATATACTTGCTTTCACTGAAATGTGGCTGTATGAGGAACTAACTGATGGCGAAGTATATCTGTCTGGCTACGCACTGTTTCGCGCTCACTACTCCATTGGCCGTCAAAGGGTGGTGTAGCTCTTTATGTGAGTAATCACTTCGACGTATTGAAAACCAGCGCTTTTCAAGCTCTCGACAAATCTCTTGAGGCTATCGCAGTCTTGATTTGAACTTCCTCGTTTCAGGTTACGGTTGTCTTAGTGTATAAAAACCCTATGAGCACCTCCAATGGCATCACTGGGTTTATACGCCCCTACTCTGCGAACAAGTGTCTGGTGCTGATACACTTCTTTCTCTCAGAGTTTTATTGGGATGACCTACCTTGCAGTTTGGCACTGGGTTCGTTCGGTACAGAACTGCTGGACTTGACGCTGCAGGTACCACTTCCCAGTTCGTGGACCTCCCCACTAGGTACATGGAAATCAGCAACCGTACATTTTAGCTCTTGTGTTTGCTAAGTCATTTGCCTCTTTAAATGACATTAATTATGACTAGCGCCTTGGCGCTAGCGAGCAAGTTTGTTTACTTTTCTAGTGTACCCTTATTAGGCCTCGCCAAGCTACTACCAGTAAGTATCCAAAAATTGGGCCGCGGACTTCCAAGCGATGAGGGTTAAAGCTAGGTCATCAACTTGTGTGCTACCTGTGACCGACACTGTTTAAATAGCCTGGGAAAAACGCAAGGCTCACGTCGTCGACCTTACTGCAAAACACATCCTACTAATAAAAAGAAAAGAATCAAGTGCGTAGCCACCGTGGATAGGTTCCATGGGAAAGGGCCTGCTAAATAAGCTTCCTAGATGCTGGTGAGCTTACCGAATGGCTTCGTCGAGCAGCCCGTTTGACAAGTAGCGGTTGGTTCGAAATGAGTGCAAGCTACATCTTAGGTTGGCTCGGCTTCAGTATGAAACGGGCTTAACTGATGCCGCCCCGAAAATACCAAGAAATTCTTCGCTTACGTTAAACGACGATGTGGTGTAACGTCGCCCATACCACCATTGCTTCGAGGAGATGGGACCCATGCCTATAGCGACTATGACAAGCATGCGTCCTTCGTAAACAGTACTTAAGCGTCTTTGTCTACGAAACAACTACGACGTGCAACGAGTTAGCTCCAAGAGTTCCTGAAGACCGATGGCTGGATGAAAGTTCTGCACTTCAGTCCCAAGTTCTCCGGTTCCTAAAAGAGGTAAACCCAAATAAGGCTTACGAGCCAGATTCTGTTCATCTAAAACTATTGCACGAATTGGAAGTGGAACTCAATGGACCTCTGACTTGTGTGTTTCTGAAGTCACTCAACCGCTGTGCCTTTCCTACCGAATGGAAGAAGGCTGTTGTCGGCCTGATTTTCAAGTGCAGTGCCAGAGACCTACCGGTTAAGTACAGGCATTCCGTAAGTCTCTGTCCTAGGTCCACTAATATTCTCAGTCTACCTGAGGAAGTTGCTGATGGAGTTTGAATTGCCATCGCTAGTATTTGCCGAGGACCTAAAGCTCTGGAGTATTGTTGATAACCATGGAGGTCCTGTGGCTCTTTAACGGGTTCTGGATAGATTCTGGAAATGGTCTGCCTTGTGGTTGCTGCCCATAAACCGGGCAAAGTGTTCAGTGCTCCTTATCGGAGTGTCTGCTTCCTCCACAAGTTGTGCTCGATGGGAGTGAACCTCTTAACGTGAATCATCAGGTTGCTCTAAGTTTCATCCACCGTTCCACACTACACTCTGGCGAAAACTGGAAGACGACGGCTAGTAAAGGTTTCCGATGTTGTGGTTTATCCGTCGTCCTGTCGGGACCCTAACCGCTGATGTGTTTGTGAAGCTCTTCTCAACGTATGTGTGGCCCGACCTAGAATATGACGTTCAAGCCTGTCCACCATGCCTTGTCCGGGACAAAGTGACACTAGAAAGGGTGTTGCCTTCGGTACTTGGTTGGTCAAGGGGCTACGAAGAAAACCTACCCCGAAAGCCTACTTAGTTTAGGGATGCATGCAATGAATTACCGAAGGAGTGAGGGGCCTAGTCCTAACCTACTGTATATTGACTGGGAAGGTTGGCCCTGATATTTTGGGCTAATTAGTACTGCTAGTTTATCCAGTCTCCGTGGGCATTTTGTGAAGCTGGACAAAACGCGGTCCGATGGATTTAGAGCGGAGACCATTTATCGCGACAAGCCCTGGAGCGCTGGAGCCTGCTTCCCGAAAGTGTTGTCAAGGAAGCTACGGTTAAGGGGTTTGAGCGTCATCTAGACGCCCTTGGGTGGAAAAGGAAGCCTTTCCTTTTTCCTGACTAATTCCCACCTTCGTACTTCGATTCCATTTTCATTACCTTTCCTCGCGATTGGTATTATGCTCTTCTATTAACTAACTTCCCTTACTCTTTACCTTAGGTTTTTCTTCTCTCTTACTTCACGTAACTAGCATAGTAGGGACAGCTAATGTAAGGAACGTGCGTATAAATTTGTTTGACCAAGGTGTTTTTCTGGTGTTTGCGTGTTAGAACCAACAATAAGTCGGAGCACCCATTACCAATCCTGGACAAAAGACCCGCTCAAGAAGGAACACTTACGGAGGTTCCAGCCCCACTTGAACTAGAAGTTGAATATTAAGCCATAAGAATACATAAGCTACAAGACACTCATTCCTATAAGCATAAGTTAACGATTTTTATATTATCTAAAGTTTAGTAACTAAATACTAATATCCCACTTTGAGGTAAATCTGGCTTTGTTGCTGCACCTTGGCTTGCAAACCCATTCCCGCCGGATGTGAGGGTCCAGATCCCATCGCTTCGGTTTTCCAGTTTTAAAAGTAGCGCGATCCTGACGCTCTCCCGAAAGTTGTTTTAAGTTTTGGAAAACTGTACAGGTTTAGGGTTTTTGCCATGGCGAAGGTTTATATGGAACTTTGAGCTATCCAGCTGTCGACAAAACTGTAGCATCTATTTTATTAATTAAGCTTCGGAGTTTTGACCATAGAACAAATGTTTTTACTTTATAATGCATAAAAATAATATCACCACCCAGTAGCGCAGTGTAAATTAACTAAAATTTTTTAGGCGCAAAGAAAACTGCAGAGCAGTTGTTCATTAAACATTCTTGTTTTAACCTCCCCTACAAACGGCTCGTGACTCGACTACGCCGTAAGTTGTCGTGCTTTTGGTTTCTGTCTCGCTTCATTTGTCTACGTCTTTTATAGCAAACCAAATATGGTCTGCAGTGTACGACTTCAATTGCCGTCTTGTATCCGCGTGTGATCAAGCGCATCGCTTCTGACTAGTTATACTAGCCCTACATACTTTTAGTTTGCTTCAAATAATTATAATTCTATTTTAATTGGTGCACTGTACAGTTTGGGAAGGACCATTTGGCTACTCGTATAAAGCAAATTATACATTTTTATACTTAACGGTCTTATTATACATGCAGTAAATGCCAATTGTGCTTGCAAGTTCAGAAGATGAATCAACTCAGCTAAATTAAGTACCAAAGTGATGGACAACCAGTGCAGTTTATACGTGCATCTTTCGTGAAATCACATTGCTATTGTGTTTAAACTAATGTTTTCATATCAACTTTAAGTAAAAGCATGAATATTTGCTCCTTCAAAGGACGTTTTCGATAGTAGAAGCACGATTGCAAGACATAAACTTAACTGTAAACCGTCAGTGTGTTCAAATAGACTGAATAATATAATAGATTTGTTTGAATTTTACAAAAGTTTGACAACTTGAACTTGTAGTTATGATGGTTATATACGCAAGTTGAGCAGATTTACTTTAAATTACTCTTTCTATACGCATTTATTCGACGGATTACATTGCAGTTTCTAGTAGCATCCTTAATTGTAGGTACTGGTTATCTCGGCACAATATTTAATATTGGATTGCGCATAGAATTAAAGCCTGCGGATAATATGACGGAAGCGTACAAAATTGAAATGGGCATGGGTTTTAGCTCGTGCGCACGCAGATTAAAAACGGTCTCAAATATTTTAGGCGTGCGGACTCTAGTATAATATTTAACCTAACTCAAGTTAAACCAGTCTGGATTAACATGGAACATACTACTTCGTTTGGCCCTAGGGTTGTACCAAGCACTGACTTTTCAACATCTCGAGCTGACCTATCAATTCCCGATCCTGCTATACGCAAAAGTAGGAATATTCCCAAGGTTCTCCTATGGTTCCGGTCCCAGCTGAACTTTAACTTAAAGCTCAATCGCAAGAGTACTGTAAATTTTGGCTGGAAATGTAAATGTGTTTGAAGTTATCAGTTAATGCTAATTAGATGCATGTGCAGAGCTTGTAGGCGTTACTGCCTCTGAGTTACAACTTGTATTACTTTTATCTAGCATTTAGCATACCGACACTGCTAGCAAAGCAAAATTTGTAAGCGGTCCACAACCTGAAACACGTTCATTGAACTTCGTTGGCTTGGAAAGTTCGTTGGTTTTTTAGTACCCGCTGTACAAAAGTAAATAGCAAAATCTTCGTTTTCAGCTTACATGACTTAAACGCACCATTGTTTAATGTTAACTTCATTGTGACTAATGCTTGCTCAACAGCAATTTCACTTATACCTTACTATTTAGAGTTTTGGTGCATACTTCTGAAGCAACTCAAATTTAAAGGGTTTTACTATGCATGTATCTAAAATATAACAGAAAATTACGAAACTAAAGTAAAAATTGCAGCAGTGTTGACACAAATCCTATGAGCGCGCACATGTTGTCTATTTCTAGCAAGTTGCAAGTGAAGACGTTAAAACGTCTCTATTTTGAGTCGAAATTCTCGGCTCGTTACTGTCCTTGTTAAGATGTTGACAGTATAACACCTTTTAATTTTTAAACTAAAAACCGATTAAGTAGTTCCCACACAGTACCTTTACTTTACTACATCAGAGGCACTGCATACAACATAGAAACTATTAGCTCTTTTTGTTGACTTAGCTATGGTGAGGCAAGATAGCTGTGTTAAAGTGTTTCTGCAGCATTGCTCAACCCAGTAATTAACTAACTGGTTGCGACAACACATTAATTTTGGAAGCAAACATAGTCTTTGGTGGAAAGCGAAGTAGCGGTAGCAACAACGGAAACTATACGCTTCGATGTACACATTTGAGCAGTGCACACACAAACTGTGTATAACTTTCAGGTGCACCAGCAAGGCACTTAAATTTAGACAAATTATTATCCCAGTGTCTTGCTTTTTGCAGTTTATCTAAGTGTATGCGTGCGGACTGCAAATTAGATCGTTTTCCATACCTTGTGTGAATGGTAAGTAGCATGGTGGTAGGAGGCTGTGAAGACTAGCACTTATATTTGACTTGAAAATAACAATAAGCCCATAAATGACGAAAGGGAATTTCTACTTCTTTGTAAATGTTAGGGACAGATATAATGAAATGAAGGAAAAGTTTTACTATTAGAAGTAGAATAACCATTACACAACCCAGGGGTACTTTTCACATGTAGCCGTTTCCTTGCATGCTTTGGCAATAAGTACATTATAATTATTCACTACTATGATGTACAGTGCTTTTGAAAGTGTTTTCCTGGAAAATAGCACTTCTCGGTTACATATTACTTCGAGTAGCAGCTTAACTGTGCTGCCAAGCGAAGGCCATATTTAAAGCCAGAACTTGTATGTGAGATTTTGAGAAAGGATATATGTGCTAGAGACACTATAACGTCCGTTTAAAAATTATGTGTGCCATAGTGGCAAAATGTTAGCTTATTCTCAAAGGAAACTGTATGTCCCTATCCAAAAACCATTCGATAAGTGGTAATATTCTTAAATACATGTCACGCATTTTTCTTGTAGTTAAACTTATGCACCACTATCATTAACTCTGTAACTCATATTCATTAATTTTACAGGTCATTTTTAACTAGAAAACTAAAAGAAACCTGTTAACAATGTAGAGGATAGTAATTGTCATGCATTACTCCTGGTTTATTTTCTAGACCGTTACCTAATTTGTGAAGAATTTTGTTTTAATTTTTGTTAAACGCACCTACGTGATTTCCATCCATTGTAAACTGATTGATGACATAAATTTGACATCAAGACAACTGTTCAAACAGCTAACATAAATGCCGCAGCTTTTCAAATTAACCACAGTCGTTTTTTAACTACCATTTCTTTAACATGCCTGGTTTATCCTAGGTTGGTGCAAACGCAACAGAATTCTTAAACAGCTTATCGTTACGAGATTTTTTAATGACCTGAAACAAATTTTTATGTATTTGAATTTATATTTCACATAGCATGTACACTTATACTAGGAATATACAAGGTGCTGTTATCCATGTTGATATCCTATGATATAGCAACATAGAGTTTTATTTTTATTACAATGACGTTCATTATTAACCGCAAGAAATAATTGTGTAGTTGCTTGCAGCCGCCTCGAGACCTTATAGTCCTCTACATGTCTGAAAAAGCCAAAGGCGACCGTTTTGCTTTAGCTGGGCTCCTTACTGGCATGCATTCATCCGCCCTACCTAGAATCAAAAACATGGATGATAATGGCTTTCAAGTTAACTAATACTTTATGTCACTAAGTAACGGGGGTAACTGCTGAAAATCACCACTTGCAAGTTAACGGCATCTCGAGACCAACCCTGTCCAGATTATTTTGTGTAACTTGCGTGGCGTGAAAAGACATGTCGCGCCATGCCAAAATCAGTTTATGTATCATGATGCTGTGCTGCTGTTACCCAATGCATTGTGAATATGTTGCTGTCAAGCGGTACGAGCCGCTAGAAGTCATATGGTTGGATCATGCTAGAATCGATGATGCGCGATGAGTATGAGTAACAGTAGAAAAGGTCGAGCATCTAGAATATACCAGGTTAGATGTCGAAATAGCACGTCTAAGGCTGCTGCAAAATACTCCGAATATCTGAATGTAAAATTCGCTAAATGTGAGTAAAGTAGAAAAGATTAATTTAGCTTGAAATTATGTTTGGTCTGTCACGTCTTTTACCCCCGACTAATTTTGTATATACCCTCTGAACATTATTCTAATAAACAAATCTAACCGCAGAGAACTTTAAATCTAAGAGCGGACTAAGATAAGTTGGTAGATTGTAATGCGATATATTGCTAATACTTCCAATTTAAACAGCGCCTTTCATAATGATTGGTAAAGTTGCAGTGTAACCTTCGGAAGCTGCACTGCTGAGAAGCAATTCAAGCCTTTTATCTGTACAGCTTAGTTTTGGTGATTCATTATGCGTCACATTATGCGCAATAAACTTATCACGAATGTAGCATGATCTATAAGCTTGCCGTTATACGCCCTTTACTTTTCAGCTCTGTTGCATATCATAATAGTTAGAATTTACACAGAACAGGATGGAACAATCAGGTAAGAAACAAGTCATGCTTAACTAAACCGTCACAAATCGTATAAATTGAATATAAATTTTGTCGGTGCAGATTCTATTTAGCCACATTTTCTGAGAAGCTTTGAAATGTAAAGCAAGCAACAAGATATAAAGCGCGTGGCGTTGCCAGCCTACTGCTGAGGGACCGTGTTAAAGCCATTGAGCACAATAGTGAGACAAATTTCACACAAATTACGGCTACTAAAATGTTTTGTGTAGCTTAATATCTTCCTTACCACTTTATGGCGAGTTTGGAAGGCACATTTGCTAAACTTAGACAATGAGTGTGTCCCGACAACATCAGTATACCCGTTAGCCTGTGGTGGGTAGCAGCTTAGCACTTGTGCCGCAATATATAGAAAAGAAGGAAAAATGTAACAAATGCAAGCCAGCTGAGCTAAACTACCGAATGAATAGCGTACCTGTAAGTTAACAGCCGGCTACTAAGCACCAAATATTTTACTATGAAAAAGCAAATGATGCTAACTAGTAAGGTCTTGTTTAGAGGAGAGGCTAAGAAGGATGGTGTGGGACGAAGGAATTCACAGTTCGAACGCCAATAAGGTTGGTTATTATACATATCAGCAAGTGTATCCAGCCAAACGTGTTCATGGCCTTACAGACTCCAAACTGGGAGCCGAGGCGCTCCAAGCGAGGCCAGTCACTAAGTATGGGCTTTCCTAGCTTTCGACCAAGTCATCGCTTGGCCACTCCCCTATTCTTGCATCACACACCTGGTGCGCAAAAATTTCACCGTTTTTGTTCAATTTCGTCGTAGATTTTATCATGGAGTGTTTCCTTGCGTAACCTCACGACCTAGGCGTTGCAGTGCTTTCTGGTGAAAGGTTAGTTGATCTAGATTATACGGACGATATTGTCTTGTTTTTCGACGATGCTGGGGCATAATCAACCTTAAATAGCCTGTCCATAGTTATCCCATTATTGGTTATGCAATTCGCACCTTCAAAATGCAAAGTGTTGCTACAGGACCACCAGCCACTTGATGACCCCTTCACGCTTGCTAACGAAGAAATCGAGGTTGTTGATCATTTCACTTACATTGGCAGCTGTATCAGCAATGATGGGCGCATGGAAACTGACGTCAGCTCACGCATTGCAAAAGCCAGAGCTACCTTCTTGAACCTGCGGCAGCTTTGGCGACAGAATGGAGTTTCTCTCCGTCTGAAAGGGCGGGTATACATGGCCACAGTGAGGGCCGTTCTGCTGTATGGTAGTGAGACTCGGCCCCTTCGGTCTGAAGATCTGAGGCGTCTTCAAGTCTTTGATCATCGTTGTCTGCGAAGCATCGCTGGTGTCGCATGGCACCAGCGTGTCCTCAACGATGATGTGCGTAGGCGCGCACTGGGTAGTAATAATCATGTTAGCTCCCTAAAACAAAAGATAGCACTGAATAAGTTGCGTTGGCTTGGGCACGTGCTACGTATGCCTGGTCACCGCTTACCTAGGAGGGTTTTGTTTAGTCTGCCAGGTGTATGGTGGCGCAAGGCTCGAGGTTGACAGAAGTTGACTTGGCAGCGGCAAATGAAGTCACTGACGACCAATCTGGGTGCCGCTGGTCCATCTAGCCTTCCGGGCTTAAACCCGCGTGACTCGCATTGTGTTTGGCTCGAGACTTCACAGGACATGGCTCGCAGTAGACACCAGTGGTGCGTCTGCTGCCGTCTCCTAATCGGATTGCCTGTATAAACTGTGTTTTATGCTGAGTTATCTGCGGGGTAATGGCTGATTATGACGCGTGACAGTGAAAGCCGCAAGAAAGCTGTCTTGCCGATGCCGCCTTATTATTTCATGATAGCCAGCTGGTTGCGACAGTATGTTGTCTACACAAGGTGTAGGCGCCTTGA